GGGCTGCAACTACATCTTCTCCAAGGAAGTCTGATACTCAGCAGCTGCCTTCTCTTTACACATTGTTCCTTCCTTAAAATTGTTGTTGTTTGTTCTCTTCGAGTCAGTTCTGACTAATGGCGACCCCATGTGTGCAGAGTAGAGCTGCTCCGTAAGGTTTTCAGAGCTGTGAACTTTCTTAAGCAGATCACCAGGGTCTGGGGCTTTTCTGGGTGGGTTCGAGCTGCCAACCTTTCAGCTAGTACTCGAGTGTTTAACGCTTGCGCCGGCCAGAACTCTTTATATTACACTTTCCCTGTTAAATTTATCATGTGACTTCTGTCTTCTGATTGGACCCTGAATGAATCAGGTGCTTTCTAAGAGGATGTGTTACTGTTATGAGAGAGAGGAAAGATCCCCATATACATTATCTAAAAGTTGTACAAAAACTGTGTATAATTAGGAGCCAGAATCAGAAATGCAGAAACTATTTAATCAAGAGCTTCAAGGCAGGGGAAGTCCAATATGGGCAGGGGTAGCTGGAGAAGAACAATAGGTAAGAACTGAATAGGTGATGAGCTTGGGATAGGCTTTCTTGTAAAGGAGTGAGCTGGTTTTGGAGAAGAAGACTGGCATGGTGTGTGGAGAAAATAATGAGGCATCTGTCAGGTTGAAGAAGATGGTTTGTGAAGAGAAACAGTGGGAAGTAAAGTGACAAAAATACTCGGGAGTACAAGATCATACAAGGTTGTAAATAATAAACAAGGAAGTTTATTTATTTAGTTTATAAGGCCTGTTCAATGGATTTTGAATAAGAATTGACTTTAAAAATATTGCCTTAATATACTAAAGGATATATATAAAGGAGTTTTAAAATGCAGTATGGAGACCCATTCATTATTTTCTTTGTGGTTAATCCTATTTTCTATGTTAATACTTTATTCCTAGAAGTATGGCTTAAAGATAAAAAAAATTCCATTAATACGTGAAATAATCCATAAGGCATTGTTTATTCATCTAGTTATTAGTCTATGATGTTTATGAATATCAGACTTGAGTTTTTTTTTGGCCATTCTTTCCAATAAAAACATCTATTTAGTTTAAGTATTCTCTGCCTCCCCCCTTTTATGAATTGAAATAGGAAGTATCTGATTTATGTATTGTGTTTTTTGAATGCCAAGATTTTGTTAATCTGAAGGATGCAAATAGGATTTATGTTAAAAGGATGAAGCACGTCTGAATTTGCTAAGTATTTATCATTATTTATTTGATGTTCCTAATGTCAGATAGTTATTCATGTAGTCTTCTTTTAAAAAAGTACAAATCTAATGCTTGTGCATTGTTGAACATTCAAAAAATGTGTATCATCAAAAATAAGAAACAGAAGTTGATTACAGTTCCCCCCACAGATAATACACTCTTAACATTTTGCTAGATTTTGCTTTTTCCCCATCATAAGTGTATGTTTATGTGTGTTTATATGTGAACACACACACATTTACACAGATGTATTTTTCTATTTATATTTATTCAACATAAAGATGTATTTTTCATAAATGGACTATTATTTTACAACCTACTTATATTATTTAACATATTGAGACTATCTTTCATTAAATGTTTTTTATAATTCCATTCTTAGTAACTGAATAATAGCTCATTAAACTGATTTACCATAAATTTACAACGTACTTATTATTGGATAGTTATACTTCCATTTTCTCTATTTTAAACAGTACTATGGGGAGATGAACACCTTTTTAGCTGTGTCTTTGTGCATGTACATGTTTATCTAGGATACATTCCTTGATTTAGAATTGCCAGATCAGAGGATATGCATCCCTTTAAAGTTTTTTTATTATTATTGCCAAATTGCTCTCCAGAAAGGTTACACTTTTTTAAATGTTATATATATGTTTTTTCTCAATCTTGAATTATATATTTGAGCACTCCATTGCTCAAGAGACTATAAAGAATATTTGTAAGGCCACAGTAAAAATGTTGCTTTACTTAAAAGTTGGTATATGGTATGGGTGTGAACACAGATACTCGTATTTCATTGTTAAGCCTTAAGAAGAGACAGCTAAATCACAACTAAATAGTATTAAGTTCTTAGATATCTGAGGGATTATTTAGCTGGGGACAGAACGATAGTAAATGATCTTAAATTATAAAATAAAAATGAGGGAAGTATGTGTTAGGAATTGCCTGACACTTTAAAAGTTGGTAGTCAGTTATTCTGGGAGACTGTAGAAGTAATTTTTAGAAGCTGATAAGAATACCATAGTGTTCTCTATGTTTGGGAAGACAGAGGTGGAATCTAGTGTCAAACAGACAGCTACCTCCATGGTGCCCACTGGGTAAATTACCAATATATTAAATCAGTAAGCAGAAGGATTTAGATGGCTTCTTGGTGCAAGTGCTTGTTTCTTCTTCCTCTCCTTAATTTTTTTCCCCCCCTGGAACTGCAGTAAATGCACATTATTCCATGAACAATCAGAAAATGTAGCAATAGTCAGATTTCATTGTAAGAAGCCTATTTAGAAATATTAGAAAGCTGTGCTATGATGAGATGAACACCTTTTTAGCTATATCTAAACATCCTATAGAAATGAATTATCAGCACTGATTTTCTTTGTTGTTTAATTTGCATTGAATGCCCATGAAATATTGAAATAGTTTGGACAAGCTTTTATTTTGTGACCTTAGCCTTTCTAATGACCTAATTGGTAATGTCTACAAATTAATATACTTTGCTAATCCCATTTTTTAATAAGTAAATTATTGTAGCTTTAAAGTGCAACTGGCAGAAAATTGCTAGATGGTCTTAATGGTAAATGTCATACTACATAATGAAAATGTGAGACAGTGCAGATTTAATGGAAGAAAATAACTGTTTGAAAGCCAGTAAGTTATTTTGAGATGAGTACTTTAAAATGGATACTCAGAAGCCAAAATTGATGTAGACTTGTAAAGATAATTCAGATGCACTACTGCCATAATGTGTCATTGAAAAAAAAAGACCAACTGTTACAGCAGTAGAGAAATAGGTGACAATATTGTGAGGAATCTAAGTAATTTATCCAAGATCTCTGGCCTGGGACTTGTTCAAAACAGTAATTGGTCTGCTGTGGCAGAGTGAATGTGATGAAAACATCTCACCAGATCAGCTGTGGACTTAGAATGTGAGTGAATCCAAGAATAGAAACATCCTGCTTCTATAAATTGGATTGGGATCCAGGATATCTTGTTTAAACAACAACAAAAAAAAAAAAAATTACAAAATGTACATGGACAATTTATTCTATTAAAATACAGTATGTAAGAATCAGAGAAAAGAAAAAAAAAGAATTCTACCTTATAGGAGAAGATGAGAACTGGGAAAAAATGAAGTGATCAATAACAGGAGTAGCTATCATTATCGAATGTGTGTTCTGTACTTGGCCTGTGCTAAAGTGTTATCATATGAAATCTTCATCAAAACTCTGAACCAGAGGGTACCACTGAATATGAGTTGGTCAGACCCTGGTGACGTAGTGATTAAGAGCTACGGCTGCTAACCAAAAGGTTGACAGTTCAAATCCACCAGGCACTCCTTGGAAACCCTATGGGGAAGTTCTACTCTGTTCTTTATGGTTGTTATGAGTCGGAATCAACTCGATGGCAATGGGTTTTATATAGTTGAATTCCTTCAATCTGTCATGATTTGAACCTGTTGTTAGGGATTAAATGAGCTAGTTCGACTATTAGTCAATGAGTGTTTAGCAGTCAGTGATAATACAGAAGTCTGATTAATTTCAGAAGTTAGTTGGGGGAGACTGGCTAAAAGAGGGTGAAGCATATTAGCATATATTCTGTGACATTATACCTAATATATTTTGGTTAAAATTACATTTGAGAAAAACATTTTGCAATAACATTTGGGTTTTAACGTGAGTACAATAAATAGGTATATTTACTTTTTTTCTGGAGTGTGTCGTTGTTAAAATCCGTGGTTATATGAGAAAAACTGTTTTTCTGGAGAGGACCCTAGTCTAGTATCAGGAGCCTGGAATTAAAGTCCCATTTTTGTACTTAGTCACTACATGACCTTTGCCTGTAATGCAAAGACTGTGTGTGAGGGCTATGAGAGTGGGACTCTTTACGTCCTTGGAGTAGCCCTGTGTCTCCCCATGACAGATAACCTATGAATATTTATTAAATCGAAGGGTGTGGAATAAATTAGTGATTTTCAAGCGAGGTTCCTTGGAACCCTAGAAGAGTATGGGGAATATTGCAGAACTGGAGCCAATAGCAATGGTGCTTAGCTGGCAGCTTAGTGTTCTGGTGAGGCTCCAAATGAGTGAATCTACAGTGTGCCAGATTCTCAACTCCAGAAATTTTACATTTTAAATCTCATTCCTCACACTAACACTTACTCTTTTTTTATGAGAATCAGAAAACTGAGGTTCAGAGTAGTTAGTACATTGCATAAAATCACACAGCTTTTATAAATCATGATTTTGGTATTTGAAATCAGAAGCGATTCAAGTACCCGTACTCTTAGCCCATCTCCCTTCTGTATCATGGATAAGGAAAAGGAATGATGCATTTTGGAGATCAATAATGGATTGCTTTTGTTTGTTTTATATGAAAATATTTTTGCTTAGTAAGACTGCACATTTTTAGAAAGGGACGTGGGTTTAAACGAAGCTCTACTAACTTATTCTCTGAACTTGGATACATCACTAACATTCCTTGCTTCAATTTCCTAACTTATAAAAGAGAAATAATAACAGGTTCTTGTGGAAACTAAATGAATGAATACATGTTATGTACTTGAACAATGTCTGTTACTAAGTATTTAATTTAACTGTTAACCTGAGAGAGAGATCTATGGCTCTTCTCTAGAAGACATAGTCTTTTTGAGTTAAATTTAATCTTTACAATGGATTGGTATCATTTTTGTTACTTTCTTATTATTATGTATTCCCTTTTGCTTATATGTCTATTTAGCTTTATAATATATTATGTCATTTCAGGTTCCTATATGATAGTGGATTCTTCAGATCATGACTCTGGAGAAAAAGCCAGACTTCAGCTGCCTACAATGAAGGAGAATGACACGCACTGTATTGATTTCAGTTACCTGTTATATAGCCAGAAAGGGTTGAATCCTGGCACTTTGAACATATTAGTTAGGGTGAATAAAGGACCACTTGCCAATCCAATTTGGAATGTGACTGGCTTCACGGGTAGAGATTGGCTTCGGGCTGAGCTAGCAGTGAGCACCTTTTGGCCCAATGAATATCAGGTAAACATCTGTGCTTTTTTGGTTTATACTTTGATGTCATTGGATCTGATTTTATGTGTAGTATTTAGAAGTGAATATTCACCAATTAGGAATGAGAGAGTGTCTCTCTAGCCCTCCCCCTCCCCCTTTCTTATGTAAGTGTTTGAGTACTTTGGCACAAAACCTTCAAAGTAGAGAAAAATATCTCTACATATAGAAAAAAAAAAGTAGGCTTAGGTCCAAATCTTGTTGGTTGGTTGGCAAAAAAGCTATTTATTCACAGGCATGTTTCTATGGCTCTGTTCTAGAAGAAATAGCCTTTCTGAGTTGAGTATAATATTCAGACTGTATTGGTTTACTGACTTCTTGAACATCATATTTAGAAAATTAACATGAAATAGTTTCATGAAATATTTTATTTTCAGAGGCATTTTGAATAACTATATTCTTGTCAGTAAAATGAAGTAGGAAAATAAGTAAACAAAAAGTTATTATGTCTAGGGTGGGAATACAGAAGTCTGGATTAACTCCACAAATTGGTCAAGTGTATTAGTGTTTACTATCTTCATATTATACCTACTACAACACTAGACCTAAGAAAAGTGGTTCACAATGTCTTTGTATTTTTCCCCCAGCTATGCTAATCTAATTATGATTACACCAGACAATGAATAGTGTCAATGCTTTGTGTTTTGTTGAGTGAGTTTATATGGTTTAGCAAAAAAAAAATCAATTTACCAGTGTGAAGAGTTGTTCAATAACCCTTATAAAAGTTCAGTACCTGGAAGTAGGAAGTTATCATTTTTAAAGCTTATTTTTACGTTTGACCTTGAGATTTAAACTTTTAAAATATTTACTTATTTGTAGCTTATTAGAGAGCCTTATGAGAATGCAGATAGGTAAACATATGTTTTATTATGGTCAGTAAGTAGTTTATAAGCTAATAACAGTTTCATGCTTGCTTTTTAAAAATGAACTATTTCTTCAGGTTAGGCTTCTCTTTATTCCTGAGAACAAAACCAAAAATACATAGAAAAAACAATATATTGTTTTAATTGCTTTGTCTTGTGTTAGTTTTTCTATTTTATTGTAAGCCTCTTACCTCTTAGGCATGGTTCTAAAAGACAAGGTTCTTAGATTATGGTCTATTGAGATTTTAATGGATTTTCATAAGGTATTAAGTTGATTCTATTATTTCTAAACAGAAGTGTGTTTTTCTTCAGCCTGGGAGAGCCATCTGCTTTTTAAGAGCCCACAGCTTTGGGAGGGATGTGTGTATGTGGTAGGTGGGTGGGTAAGGGTGTGGAACTGGTGCTAAAGGGATGGCAGCCACATCAGTGGGCTCATCTGTGACAATCAGTAGGTTGATGGTTGTCATCACTGGGTCACCTTCACAATGCAGTTTCATTATACTGACTTTGTGAGAGTCTGTCATCAGAGCTTAACATAATGTGGAAAAGAAATAGCTCTGATTCAGCAGGATAAAACTGTCAAAGAATTTAGTCTTCATAACACAAAATAAAGCCCCCCAAAATAATAGTCTAGCAAAATCATTAGAATTGTAGGTTCTAGAGTCAGATTTCCTGTATTCAACGCTGTTATTTACTTAGCTGAGTTGATTTATTTTTTTTTTATGGAATCAAACCATTGATTTTACCTTAACAACAACAACAGAAACAAAACATAGAAGTAGATTTTGATAAGTCCAAAAAATAATGTATGTATGGTATCATATTTTTCTTCTTTTCTAACTAGTAAGTGGCATAAATATTTTTTCTCTAAGTTTTTGTAAGATCTGTCTTTGAATCATTGATGTTAATTAATAACATGATGTTAATAACATGAAGACATCTCACCAGATTTCTGCACAGATTTTCTTCTTACAGAACAGATTTCTACAATGTTAGCTTTAACGTTGAGTTGCAGTACCCAGAACTGAATGAATACTTCTTTTGTTCAGTCTCATTTTGCATGACAAAGCTCCCTAGGTTATATGTGCCTCTGGTGTATTTAAGCAAGCATGGCGGAAGTGTGCAAGCTTCAACCTGGCCAATGATAAATTTTTGGAGATCTGTTATCAGAACCTATGAACAGAGGTCTCTTTGTTGCAGGTTAAAATTTGGGCCTTAAGTTGTTTCTTAAGTGATTGTTTTGCTTCTACATCTTTTTCCTTAACCTGCAAAATTTAACAATCAATAAAAGCAAATAACAGAGTATTTTTTATTCATGTGCTTAGTGCTCAATAAATTACTTGATTGAAGTTTTCATCGACTGGGTCATTTAGATACCTAGTTGTACCTGTACATCAGTGATTAGAAACAACCAGCATAACATAAAAATATATTTATGTAGCATTTTTGCTATTAGGAAATAGCATGAAAAACTTTTGAATAATGCAGAATTTTTATGGATTTTTTAATTAAAACATAGCCATTGCAGTGTGCCAACATCAGAAGCTCTTATCCATTTTCATTCTTAAAGGAACCACTACATGTTTTCTTCTTTGTCTCAGACTCTGCATGGGTAGAGTTATGATATAGATAGAAATGTTTCTCCTTGGTTCCACAGTTTTCTCATCTTCCCTTCTCCAGAGAATTTGCACTCTCTTCTAAACTTCTACTTTAGCACTTTGTTTTTCTCTCATTTTCTCCCTCCCTTTTCTTATGTTGTATTTCTAAGGGAGATTCCTATCTTTTCTTTTAGGGAGGTGATTTCATCTGCTTGATCGATTCCGTGTCTGAACACCCCCTCTAACCCATCTCCTTGTCGTCCAAAAATAACAGCAACAGTAAAACGCAATCAAAAGGAAAACAGTTTCAGAGTGCTACTTCCTTTAATTAGCTTAGGATACTTTTTATATAATAATCGCGTTGCTGAAAGTGGGAGTAGAGAGGATCCTTTCTGACCAAGCTAGTTCTTCTCTTTTCCATCTTTGTGGGGATCTAAAATTCTGACACAGACATAGTTTATCTTTGGTATGATTTGCCCTTTCCAGATATCCCATCAGCCCAGATGCCTAAACAGTGTGTACCACACAGTTGATCGATATGGTAATTCAGTCATTTATGCTGTGGGCTAGTCAATAATGAAGAGAGACCAGTTTTTAACCCCCAAAAGTATACACATCTGATTAGAAAAGGGGACAAATAATATACATAAAACGATGAAATAAAGGTAAAAATGGTCCTCCTTTGTTTCGGCAGATCAAGAGAGGCCTCATGGATTCTGGGGCCAGTTGGCCTGGGTTGTATCTTGACTCTGCTATTTATCTGCTGTACAGTCTTGGGCAGATTCCTTAATTTCTTCATAGTTTTCTTGCCTATAATACGTTGATCAAAATAGTACCTATCTTATTGGGTTATTATGAGTCTTGAATTAATATACATAAAGTGTTTAGAAAGTGTCTGACACATGGTATGTGTTTGCCAGAACATGAGATTAACATTACGATAGGTAAATAAAAAATCTATAAATTCTATTATGTGCCGGCCTGTGAAGTTCCAAGTTTCTGAGTCTAAAAGATCAGGAAAACAAAATAAAACAAAAACCCAAGAAAACTAACTTTCTCTCTCTCTCTGCCTTTCCCTTCCCTTCTCTTATGGGTAACGACTCCTTCTCCTATGTGTACATTTTCCTACAGCACAAGATATTGATAAATTAGAAGAAGAAAAATATGTATTACAGCGTAGTTTATTTTACACGAATAAATAAAGCCACGTATAGTCAGAGCACAAACTAGCTCTACTGACAAGAGAATAGTTGTTGAACCTAAGTGTGGCTGCTTTTTTGATGACTTTGTTCTTTGTCTAGTTTATCACTTGGTAGTGATGATGAGAATTGTGGTGACTAGTGACAGGGCAGGTGAGGTTTGCTCAGAGATGTTTAGGTTTGATAGCTGTGCACTTTGGGCTATAATATATCTTTATTATTGAAGGTTCTGCAAGAAAAGTGGCTTAGTGTTTGCCTATTTGGAGCCTTCTAGTCCCTAAGCATTTTTTCCCTTAGAAAATTTTGTTTTTAACATAATATTTTTTTATTCAGGTTTTCTTGGAAATGCAATGATGTTCTCATGGAATAATAGAATAAACTATATTTAAATGTTAATGGATTCTTTAGAAAGGGAAAAACTTTTAATTCTCAACTCACTAAATCACCACTGAGAAAAATCCAGGCCTTGGATCCTTGTAGAAGGTGTATGTGAGGAACGTATTTTAGCGATGGAGCAGGGGACATGGTACACTTTGACTTCCTCTTTATTCATGTTATTATCTAACATCTGAGATATTGGCCCACTGTACATGCCTAGATTTCCATAATAATTGTAGTACTTTTTAATTTTATATCCCAAATAAATATCTTTATTCTCTACTTTTTATTTTTTATTGAGAGTAAATAAATATTATTATTCGTGTAATACTAGATTATATTAAACCATAAAAATATATGTATATGTGTGTGTGTACACACATACGCAATGCACATGCACACACACATGCCCATAAGTAAAATTCACATATATTTCAATTTCTAATTCTCCTATATTTCTGTTCAGACGGTTTGTCAGGAATTTTTTCACATAATCCTATCATAATTCTGGAGTACTATGATAGTCATACCTTTTAATTGAAAGAGCTATGGTTTGTAAAAGTTTCATATTTTCCAGTGTCGATACATTCTAGTTCCTCTCCAGCTCATTTTCCACCCTGAGGTTGATCTTCTCCCAACTCCTTTAGAAAGCTACCAAGCAATTCTTAATTTACATTACTAATGACCAAGAAATTGTTGACCAGAATACCCCTCATGCTGTATCTTTACTTTTTCTTTGATGAACACATTCCTGTACTTTGTGACACTTGATTTTAAAAAGAGGAAGAAAGTGTTAAAATTTCACCTCCAGTGAAAGCAACTGTATTACTTTTTATGATATAATCTAATACAGGAAAACTTAGATGAATAAAGAGTTTTCATGTCCCTTAAACCATAAAACATCAAATATCCCATAAATTTTTGATAGTTTTCAA